AATTGTTTGGAGCACTGGTGACACTCGACGGCATCCCTATCACTCGTCCAAACGGCTTCCTTCAGTCGTCCCGTGTTTTCTTTAAGGCCATCGACTTCTAGTTTAGAACTGTTTCACCGGAATATTAGTGACAAGTCATTCAAACACAGAATCACTGTATGTCTCACTCCTGGAGCTGTTTCCCCACTTCTTCTAACGATAACTCGTATTCAAAGCACTTCTTCTTTAGTATTTGATTCTCGTTTTGGACTTTCAGTGATTCACTGGACGCGCGTCTCATGCGCTCCAACTGCTGCTGCAAATGAGTGACCTGTTCCTGTTGCTCGTCAATCAGCTTCTGAAGGGTAGTCCGCCATTCCTTCTCGGTTTTGGCGTCTTTTTCAGATGTAATTCTGTTCGCAATTATAAAATACATTACAATTTCTATTTCATTGTTTGTGTCATTCATATAAAACAATACTTCTGGCGCTCAATATCAGTCAACTGCTCGTTTAACTTAAGCTGATTTTCCTCATCATTTGCGCGCTGTTTCTCGTAATTAGAGACTCTATTATAAAATCATAAATACATTCACCGATAAGTAAATGTGAAATAATATCTATATTACTAAGAATATCGTACTTGGCTTCCAATTGGGTGATAGTGTTGGCCATAACCGACACATTTTGCTCCAAATGCGAGATATGATTGACTTTGTTTTTGATAGAAGTCTCGCACTCTTGGAGTTTGGAATACATCTGAAGATTAATTGTTTTGATGTCTTCGAGCTGTCGTCTCAAAGTGATAACGGAGTCCTGTTTCTCGAGAACATCCCTTTCCAGCAAATGCATGGCAGTCTCGGCCTCGCCCTTCAGAAACGCCTGACTCTCCAACTCCTTCTCGGCCGCCTCTCTTCGTTTGACTTCTTGTATGAGTTGTTCCTCTAATTGCGAGAACTCCTCCTTTGATTGTTTCAATGAATCCATTTCTGGAATCGTTTTAATAATTTCAAAGTTTTTGTCAATATTTCGAAAGACTTCCAACTCCTCAGTCATCAGAGTGTTGTCCGTTTGAAGGGTTTCTATTTTGTGCTCTAAGTTTGAAATCGTGGAACTGATCCCAAGAACATAATTCGGTTACAACTGATTCAACCATTTTAGTCAAAACTATACCTCAAATGTCTGTTAAGCTCTTCAATATAATTCTTTTGGTCCAATACTACGGATATATTATCTTCAAAGCCATTACTATAAACAAAATATTTTCAAAAATACTAAATAAGTATATCTTAGAAACGGGAGAATATTCCCAACCATTCATTGTTGCCATCGCTATGTTGTCTCCAATCGGAATCAAAAGGATTGGATTGAATGTTATCTCTTAAATACAAACTCAGATCAATAACAAAATCATCAGAATCTAGATCTTCTTCTTTGACACAGAGATTGCAATCAAGAATATTGAGTCCCACGAGTAGGCCTCCAATGATAACAGCCTCGTCGGACATCATAATAGCCCAGTCCTCGTAATAATCGCTTAAAAATAATTCTCTCTTTTCTAAGAGATGTCTAAAATAATCTGATAGTCTTTTGTTCATTAAAGCCAATCTCATCCATGCCCTCACTTTCCCTAAAGGAGTCCTTAAAATAAGAAACTCTATTAAACAATGTTATGCTAACGGAGTGGTCAACAAAATACACACTTAATGGTAGGTATCTGTCGGGCGCTGACAGTGATATCGGAGGCATCGGAGGCCAGTCTCTCGACTAATTCAATGACATTCCATAAATCCCTTTTGCTCTCAAATATGCCTTTTTTGGCTAAAATATTATACACAAAATATATTGTCAGTAATACAATACTATAATATACTGATCAATCATTAGCATACATTTGAGTCCGTGCTTGAATATGTGCTCCAATATGATAAACAAATGTCTTAATGAGATGTTACTGGAGTCGACGATACGGTTAGTTTTAGCCGATTTCTCGATCAATTCCTTAACTATAAGTTTCATGAGATTCACGTAATTTGATCGCTCGATAGCCCAACGATTTCGGACTGAAATGAATTTATTTAAGCCATAGTTAGAACTCATTGCAAATTACATTTATTTTTTCTAATATACGAGAAATGTGTAGCTTTTCTCGCAACACAAGCCAATCGCCCACAACTGATACTTTAAATCCTGACAATCGTTTAGACTTTAATTTTGTCATATTATGCAAAATTAACACAACTAATACAATAGGTATTCAATTGGCATAAAATTAAAATTCAATTATTATATATATTATCAATAATAGCATAAAGTAATTGAAAGCTTATATCAAATCTAAGGTATTTTTCATTAACATTAATTGAGACTTGTTTTCAATTTATAAAATCTAATCATAGCTTAAGTTAAAGTATAGAAATTGTTTTATCGCTTATAACGAATATTATATTTAATTGTATATTGTTTCAAGACACATTTGTATAGGAATAACAATCTATTAATTTAAACAATTGATAAAATTATATGTATTGACATTCAGTTTAAATGCCTTATCATTGATGTGAATATTCTCTATACAGTGTGTATATTTAGCACTCAATCACACAATTAGTGAATTTGGATAAAACTAAATCTTATTATCAGAACTACTCTATTGACACATAAACTATCAAATAATTGGTATTTAATAGGAATTCAAAGTTTTAAATGAGTTTCAATTTAAATACAAATTTAGCGGTAATTATAGCATCTTATAATTTATAAGCTAAGAATTTAACCACATTGCCATAGTTTTGTAGATTATAATTAACTTATTATTACAGTACATGTAAATATTTAAAGTACACTATAGTATTAAGTCATTGCCATCTAATCAGCATTCAATTATGCAATATTATTTTTATTAGACTAGTCTAAGTTATTTAAATTAACATTATGATTACACACGGGTCAATATCCACCGACTGTTACAGTATCCTAGATACTTATATTTATTAATAGCACTGTCAGAATAATTCAAGCTTGCTATTTGCGAGTGAACAAGGTACAAAAACAAATTATCGCTTAGTTTTTGATTGTATTAATCGCGATAAAAGTAGGCAAATATAGTCAAAATAAGTTTTAAGTCTATTTAATGTATTAACAAAACAAAAATGAATTGATAAGAAATAATCGCATATTCCTTACCATTAGTTCCGTGGCTATCATTGGTGTTGTATTGACTGAATTGAGAGTCACTTTTGTCACTCTTTGTACTCTTATTGGATTTGATGGATATCTTCCTCCCGATGGCAATCGTCTTACGATTAGCCAAATGGTTGTCATTAATGGCATCACTTTTGACGGCATTTGTCACACAATTGTCACTTCTGTCCACAACTTCATGAGAGACACTGTTTTCTAAACTTTTTTCGGCCATTAATTCACTCAACAAATCATTATTTCAATTAAATTACGGCACAATTCACGGGTAAAAACACAAACACACATTAGCGAGGTTAGTTTATGTTTAAAAACACTGATTAATACTTTAAAAATATATTTATATTTATAATGAATTTATTTGTATAAAAAATCTCTCGGTTTTAGTAAATAGTAAAAAATTGGTTAAAATATATATATATATACTGGGAATATATGGTTGTAAATTAAATATGCAGCATGGTAAATGAAAAATCTGGTGAGTTTTGAGTTAAATCTACAGCTAATGTCAAAAACAATTAAAACAATTTTACGCAAAATATTGACAATTATTTATTGAGTTGTTTTCAAATGTTTGAGTCACTCATGAATTACGTGGAGATTCAGTGACACAATCAACTCAACCACACATTTAGCACCACTTTCCACGCATTCAATGTATAGACTACCGGCGCCCACGTCGCCAATCAGTGCCACTGATGTCACCCACCCCTCCAACTGTGCACGAGTGTGTTCAATATATTGCCCATTACTGGGCATTAAATTCATTAAAAGTTTGTCATTTAAACACATTTCAAACAAAATGAATACAACTATCCGTATAACACATGCATTGAAACCCGGGGCTAACTGTGAGCACACATTACAGGCATTTAAATGACATAAAAGTTTGACATAAATTGCAAATTACGGCAAACACTGGGCATTAGTGCACACCTCTAGCGCGCGCACACAGTGGCAGTGCATATGTGGTGCCGACCTCTACACCACATGTTCTCGTGTTGAGTGCAACGACTGTCGCAAAGACAACACATTGTCGTCGATTTGATTCACAATTAACTCATTCAGCGTTTCATTCAAGTCTGAAGACACATGGCGTCCGACACGAAGGCAGTGGAGGTGAGCGCTGGTGACCCCCCATTGACACCCATTTTAATGACTCAATATATCCATTGAATGATTGGTGGCGAAGGTGGCGACGAAGAGCGAGTCCAAGGGTGAGGGTAGCGGCGAATCCCAAGAAGTCATACCAAAGCATCCGCTCCAGAATCAGTGGCAGTTGTGGTACTTCAGACCCGGCGCCAGAGGGTCGGCCTGGGAGGACAACCTGCTCGATGTCACCCACTTTGACACCGTCGAGGACTTCTGGGCGTAAGTGTCAACGTGTGTGTGTTGTAGTGTCTGACTGACGGCTTGTCACCGCTGATCTGATCCATAGGCTCTACAATCACATCGAGTTGGCCTCCCATTTGAACGCCGGAAGCGATTACTCGATCTTCAAGCAGGGGATCCGTCCGATGTGGGAGGACGACCGCAATAAGGCTGGCGGCCGGTGGCTCTTCACGTTCGGCAAGAGGGGTCCCGGCAATCGGGAGGGCGGGCGCGAGATCGACAAGACCTGGCTTGAAGTGGTCTGTGCTCTCTCTCTCATTTACACTCACTCTCTGCCAATCATAGTCTCTCATATGATCTAATGATTGCGTGTTTGTGTCCAACAGTTGTTGTGTCTGATTGGTGAGGCGTTTGGCGACGATAGCGACCAGATCTGCGGCGCTGTCATCAACATTAGGGGCAAAATGGATAAGATCTCCGTTTGGACCAATGATTACCAGAATAAAGGGTCGATCCTTAACATCGGGTAAGTGTTTGACACGCGATATACCGGTATATATGACTGACTGTATGGTATGATAATGAATGGCACGAATAGGAGGATTCTTAAACAGCGGACCGGTTATCCACAGAGCATATCATTCGAGGCCCACTCGGACACCATCGTTAAGACGGGCTCAATGGCCAAGCATTTGTATCAATTATAATATAATTTATCACTAATTAAGATCTTTTTATACGTGAAATGACAGTTAAGTTTAGGTATAAACCATTATTTATAAAATTAAAGATTTGATTCGATTTAATAAATTTAATTTGCGATAATTCTCAACCATTCTCTGTATGACTTCTATTTGATTTGGATTGACATTGTTTTCCCCCATTTGGACATTACATTACTGATTATAATATATAAATATGTAACTTATGATTTTAGTCTTAATTTCTCGTATTATCATAATTTGATTCAAATATATCTAATGATTTAAATGTATGCACTTATCAATTGTCTGTTGATTACTGTAATTGTGTCGAAATGTTTGCTATTATTTTAGGAATATATAGACTTGTGAATACATAGCCCCCGACCTCCCGTATGAAAATATATATATTAAACCGTTTTATTTTATATCGATAACAATTACAATTTGATTTGAATTAAAAAAATTTGTGATTTTATTTTGTTATCACATAAATATATGTAAAATTTCCTAATAAAATATATTGATATAAACATGACTTGATTTAAATACATTTGTAATATACTGTCTACTGAATCAGAAAATATAATTTACCGGTAAATGAAATGCATTAAACGCTAATTTCGTGTGACAAATGTCTGTTGAATATAATTTAATCTTGTGTTTAAACTTTTAAAATAACAGTAATATTACATAAATTAATGTTTTAAATAAATTTCTCGTAAACATAACTTCATAATATGAACACTGGTTTAAAATAATTTAGAAAATTTAATGGTATTTGAAGGCAATTGGGGTTTTCGTTCAGAAGAGGCCGACTTTTTTCTTGAGATCCAATTGTTTCCATTTGGGAATCGCTTGAAATTCTTTGTATGAAATGCCAAACACTTGTTGGAAGTCCGCGTTTGACAGATAGAGCTGAAAAAGTTTCAAAACAATTGTTTTCGTTAATAACTAGCATTTTCATTGAATCTATAATAAATCACTTCTTTTCGGGTCGGCTCCACATCTTCCGGCAACTGATTGGCGTCTTTTACCCTCAACTGATCGACGGGATACTTGTTCACTGATCCAAAGTCCCCGGAGTGTCCATTGTTCATAGCGCTCGCTTTAATGATCTTGACACTTTCCGATTTGCCGTCCTTTAATGCACTCTTTATTTCTTCGTAACTCTTATTCTTCTAAACGATTGAAATTGAGATTAGATTTGGTGTCAAATTATGATGTCAACTAAAAATCTTTATGCAATTTAAAAACCTTAAGCGAGCATTCAATGAGTACGTACACATAGAACATGGGGTGGGGTGGGGGGTCCACCAAGGCATGCATACATGATGTTAAATACCTAGGTATTAATTCCAGTGTATTAATTGAGGGTAGGTAGGAGACAATTTTGCGTATGTACTTATTGAACGAGTTATTTTAATAACTTTTTTATTACTGTATAAATGTTGGGATCAATTGGTAAAAGTATCATGCAAAGTTATTTAATGCAATCTTAGTATGACTAAAATTATAATTATCAAAGCCGAAAACGGGTCAAATGCAGAGGTCATATGTAGGTGCAGGTGAGGTGAGAGGTGATAGGTCATATAAATGGTCAAGTTCATATAAATAGAAGTTGAAACGAACTTACATATGAGGTCAAGTTCATAGAAATCAGATTGGTAATAGTGCCTGTGTCAAACAAATTGTGAGATAGAACTTCCCTTGTTCATAGATTTATTCCCAAAAATTCCAAAAGTTAACATTTCAATTTTCATGTTTAAATTTTGTATAATTAACTTATATACTGTATATTTAACTCTCAATTATATTATATTACCGGTACATGTTACAAGTACTGAAAAAACTACAGTAACTACAAATTAAATTGTATTGCATTTATAAGTAAACTACTTTTCATATGATAATTAAACTCAAAAATGTTTTCGTAAAAGTGCACAACCCTTTCTACTTGTGTTTAATATGTAGTAAAAGTTGTGACAATTTATGAGAAGGGCTTACATTCCACATAGTTATATCCCACACCCCGAAAAATCCGGTAAAGTTAATGGGCTCGTGTCCTTGCTTAATCACAATAATGGGTGTATCGATGTCTCGGCCGCTGGGGTCTGTCGTGAGATACTGTTGGGCCGCCTCCTGAGCCAACTTTCTCTCCTCTCTGTTGGACAGGTCTCCGATCCATAAGAACAGTGCGTCCCAAGCGTCTGATCAATCAATAGATAACATATTGGTATTGATTTGCAATAACTCGCAAATTGAAGCACAAATATATTACCCAAAAGCATGACATCGTCTTGAATGAGGTCCGACTGATCGAAGTGAGGGATCTCCTCAATAGTGAACAATCCGTTAGCATTACTGCATTGGAAGAGACGGGGCGAGTGGGGGTCGTCACTGAGTTGTAGTCTCTTATCGTTAGAATATTCTTGTTTGCCTCCAATCGCATCCCAGAAGTCATCCTTTTCCTGCCCTTCAGACACCAACAGAACTCCCTTTCCCTGGTGTTCGGCGATCTCTTTAGCCATTTCTCGCTCGTCTCCTAAACTTCCCTATAATTTAAACAAAATCATGTATTTTAGTGATAGTATACTAAAAATATTTTAATCATTGATAAGCAAATTGAGTTTAAATTATCATACCTTTCCTGCCCACACATAAGCGATCTCGTGAGTCAACAAAACGAAGACATCGTTTGAATTGAGAGATGAGGCACTGGGATGTACTTCAACCGCTTTAGTACTGTATTGATTGGTTCCCCTCACTTGCAAAAGACTCGTGTTTTTCAGCGATTCCTCATTTGACTGATTATTGTTGAAACCACTGCCGAATCCACCCATAAGTATAACCATTTTACCGCCAAATATAGCCATAAAATGTGCCGGCTCTTTGCCCTCAACCACGCGCACCTGAACCGCATGTCCCGCAAACTTATTATTATCTAAGTCCACGGTCTTCATGGCAGCCGTTCCGCGTTCATCAACAGATGATTTCGATCCCAACCAGTAGTAAAGGATGACATTCTGAGCGCCGTATGTATAGACCACTATATAACAGTCGCCGGAATGAAATTTTCCGAAATCTTCTTCGGGAACCTCTACTAAATCAAAGTCTTTGACGCGATAGACTTGTTTGTGGCCATTGCCGCCGTCAACCATCTGAGTCTCGGCGGCCATCCCGTGGTTCTCGTGCAGAACCGACGGATCAAACGTCTGGGGAATAATTTTGGCGATCTTTCCCACGTGATAGGCGTTCCCGAAGCCGTTCGCTAAGTTCGCGTCTTTCCACGATTTGAACAGATTTTTGAATTCAATGGGCTCTCCGCCGTCAATCACTCGCGTGACACGTGTGTGTTGGGGGTAACCCTTCTTCGTGATGAATCCCTGGGCGTTACGCATGGATTCGGTGCGCTCTTTGGCGGACGCCTTCTTTCCCACCCAAACCCATATTCCGCCCAAATTGTTGTCCACAATAAATGAGTCCTAAATTCAGTGCACAAATTAGTCTCAAATATAGGGAAAGTTTTGCAATTCTTTACGTTTGAGTTGAGATCCTTCTGCTCGAGAGGTCCTGTTTTGACTTTAGACACCTTAAGACTCTGGTCCTCATCTGTGCACCGGTAGAGAATCACTTCAGTTCTCTGATTCATTTCGATGCGCGAGTCGTTTGGCACTTCCGTATGACTTAAGACACTCTTCGCGCTCAACGGCAAGTATTTCTCGAAGGCTTCCCTCTCGGCGTGGCTTAACTCCGAGCTCTCGTTGTTGTCCTCCACGACCACAACGGCCTGACACTCGGGCGCGTGCTCTGACTTGAGCTGTTGGGCCACTTGTATGGCCTGAATCTTCTCCATGTTATTGGCGAAACTACCCGTCCATACGAATACGTGACTACAGGCGTCCAGAATGAAGACATCGCCGTCGTTCAGTTGACTCCAACTGATTTCAGACAACTATTTGCATCACATTTCGTATAATGAATTGTTTTATTCATAAGTGTTTATGACTTGGAAAAAAGTTAATTGTTTTACAACCTCTCGCACTACAGGCGCTCGTTTGCCTTTCACTTGATAGAGACTTGGCTTCAGAGAGATATCTATTTTATGGAAACCGCTTGCAATACCTCCCTTAAGAACTCTTTATAAATAAAATAAAATAAAAAACAGTTATCATTAAAACATATTATTTGAAAAAGACCTTCAATTAAGTTAAGAGTTAAGACTTTATTGAAATAATAATCTCTTTTACAATGGAAAGCATAGACGACATTGAAAGTGGGAAAATATAATGAATGAATACAACACATATTAATGCGGCATACCTCATCCCATTCCTGAAGTACGATAAAAATCTCTGCGATTCGTGACCTAACAGTTAAATTAAGTTTCATTTTATTACAAATAATTTTATGACTAATTGCGTATAAATAATATTATTGCACTGGTGCTGCACAATAAGTCAATTATATTTAAAGTAATATTCAATTATAAATTCATAAGAAATAAAGTACTATTGAAGCCAAACCTTGAGTCTCCCTGTGCTGAACTGGTGTCCCACCGAGATTGTCATCTAACTCTACCGACTTATATGCCGCGATTCCGGCCTCGTCTTGAGATGTTTCTGAGCCCAACCAGAAGTGTATGTGAATGTCGAGCCCTGTCCGCACCTCTTTGGGCACAAGCTGAGAGTCAGCCCTTTCCTTGCCATCGGTAGCCTTTGTGGATGTCATATATAGTAATTTATGTTAAATTTTGTGAATAACATTATGATCATCAATATATGGGCAATACATACACAGATAACTATATATGAGTCCCCGCTGTAGAACTGGCCGTAACTCTCCTTTGGAACCGCTATTACTTGAAGTTTCTAAACAATTGTCATACAATTAGTTATAAATATATTTAAAGCGAAAATGCATTTTCACAATTGACATACTAAATAATAATTTCATAAATTTTGTCTGAGATGCATTTATCTAATGAACTTAGAAGTGAATTTTTTGGCAAGTTTTTATATTAATTTAAGTACTTTTTAAAAGCTTTATAGTATGAATATAATATATTTAAACGAATATTTAAATTAAATAAGACTTTACCTAAAATAGTTAAAGAATTTAAATGGAAATGTTTTAATTAATTTGAGACATATACAGTACAGTAAATCAAACTTAAATATAAGTTACTACATTCGTTAATTACTAGCTTACTAGCTTTCAAAAGGTAAACATAAAAACAAGTGTTTTGACATTTAGTTTGGCGAAAGATTAGCAAATAAAGTAAAATAGATATAAAAAGTAAGATTTACTTCAATCCTCCAAATGTAGAAAAATGTTGAATTTTGCGGAATTAGTCTAAACGCCGGATCCACTGGTTGTGTAGACATTGCTATTGATATTCACTACTAAATTAAAAGACCAACACTTGTCTAGCACTGAATGCACTTGAATTGAATGCACAGAAACTAATAAAAAAATAATAACTTAATTAAAAGATTTTATTTATAAAAGTTTATATCTATTTATCTCTACAGAGACTTTATCTCCAAATACAAGTAGTAATACAAATATGTTGTTAAAAGCACGCAATCGACTCAAAAGTATTATATATAAATACAAAATACTATTTTCAAAGGGAGTATAGCTTTCTATTGTGTGTCGCGACTAGTAGTTTGACGCGAAACTAGTGGATAGCCTTGTGGTGGTGGGGCCGACAGCTCCGGAAGGAAATCGGTTTTATAGGTTGAAGAGCTCTGGCGTACAGATCAGTGCAGAACAGATCAGGTTTTTTCTAAAACAACTTTATTTCTTCGTATTTCACTAACAAATAACGCAGGAAAGGGAGGAAAGGGATGCACTCCTCATAGAGATTTCCATTTCAATATATGGCATTTAATTCAAACATGCACATTTGAATTTTTAAATATAGTATTCTACCTTATACAGTATTCTTGACAATATAATTGCTTTGTAATAAATTTAATTGAATGAATAAGTTGTTAGATTTGTTGATAATTAGAAAAAATGAATTTAAATCGTTTTGAATAGAGTATCAACTTCACTGATAACAGGATGATAATAGCAGTAGTCATAAAATAATTAATATAATATTTCAAATCGATAATTATACTTTATTTTACAATCAAAATGTAATACTTGAAAGCAGAACATACATTATAAAGTAATGGCAACTAATAATTCTCGTAATTTCAAACATTTGTTTATAAATTCAATATTTGCTAAAAAATCAATACATAGATGACTAACTAAAGTCTGAAGTGGAGTTACTTTTCA